AGTAAGACAATAATATGGTTTGAAGAATGAAAATATTTTCTTATTTGCTTTAATGTGATATATTTCCCGTTTACTTCTGTTGCATTACTCACACGGCAAAATTGTGTTTTCATTTCAGCAAATAAATGTTGGAAGTCGGTGCAGTGGCCTGGGTAAATTCAAGAACTCCAGCTAGCCTCCAGTCCCTCTCAGAAGTCTCTGCATTGGTTTTCATCTTCAGGAAAGAGATATCCTGTGAGCAGGCTCACCTTTGAGTCACACGCGTGATTGGCGAAGTGCGAGTCAGCGAGCGAGGAGTCTGGTGCAGAAAGGAAGTCAACCTGCCTTGATCTCTGATCTCTGTTGTTCCCAGGGTCTCTCTGTCCTCCTCCCAAGAGTGAGAGAGGTGGACCGTGGGAACGAGGTTAAACTTTGCTGCTTGCACGTGTGTTCCTCAAACGTGAGCCTGTTCGCAGGCTAGGAAAGAGAATTCCTTGTTTTATTCAAATTTCTTTTTGAGGGATATTTTTTTTACTCCCATGACTTTCCTAACAAATTGTCCTTTCAGTCGTAAATAAAAACAAAGAATACTCAATATTAGATTTAGAATAGCAAATAATAAACGGATGCTCATTCTGAGATTTGGAATAGAAGATAGTACATAAAGATATTTACTTTAACAAATAAACTTGCTCAAAATATAGCCCTATCTACGAGGGTCTCAATGGGGTTAACCGTCAGCCGTCAAACAGCCCAAAATTTAACCGAAAACCGTCAGAAAACTGCAATTTTTGCTGTAAACCGTCCGAAAAAGAGGCAGTTCAATGTTYACCGTCAAATGGTTTCAAGGTCGTTGGAATCTCACTATTTTATGGGCTCATTACGGACTTCTGGCTCTCAAAGAATCTTTAAACTTGTAAACTAGTTTATAAGCTGACACTATAGTCTTTTTGTTTTTTGAGGACCAAGCGCATTGGAGCTTTCAAACAGCATTTGATCGATAGCCACAGTTAGAAAAAAAAAATTGATCTCGGCTCATTCATTATGTATTTTTATAAATTATATATTATTTAAGAAATAGAATACATGTACCGTGTTTCTGTCGAGTTTTGCTATCAATCTACTAGTGTTCTATCACGAATGCCGTTGTCTGATTGGCTACTCTACTCACTATCTATTCTGTTGTAGACAGAGAGTAGCGTAGCAGTATCAGTTGTTAACAAAATGACGACCGCTTCTTTGCGTTATCTAAGTATCTGGAGACCTGATTTAGATGGTATTAGATTTATAGTAGATTAATTGCTCTTGATTTCTATGTGTTAAAGTTGACTGGCTCAGGCTGCGCCCTCGACAACTATCATGCATAGAAATCGAGAGTGAATAATCTAATTGTTTCAGTATAAATCTACCGTCGTTCAAAACTTTATCTAAATCCACGTCACAAACACTGCGAAAACGCGAAGAAGCGGCCGTCATTTTGTTAACAAAGACACACTGCTACGCAACTCAAACTGGGGAATATCCGAGTGATGTTCACCACTATTCAAAATCGCGCATGTTGCGAGAAATATTTGAAGGATGATAAACACAATAGCATCCATTTGGCGCGAAAATATGCTCAGACATTTGTCCTTGGAGATAATCTTTTCCTCAAACCTCAAAGTTTTTCTCGAGCTACGCTCTCCGAAAACTGTTCGCTTCTCGGAACAGATAGTCTCGGGGACAAATATCCGAGTTTATAATTCATCAAATGTTTTCGCTCGAGCACAATTGGGCTAAACGCGTCACGTGACCGAATATTCCCCAGCAAAGACTGGGGAATATCTGAAAACTACACGTGTATAAGCACAATAGCCTCCATTTGACTTTGAAAGTATGCTCGGATATTTGTCCTTGGACATTATCTGGTCCTCAAAGCTCACAGTTTTCCTCGAGCTACGGTCTCGGAAAACTGTTCGCTTCTTGGAACAGATAATGTCCACGACATCTTTGAGAAGATTCTGCGACGGCAAAATAAAGAAAACAACTCGTCTACTTTGATGATCAAAATGTAAATTCACTTTGCTTGCGCCATCAGTCATTGTCAACAGCTCGTGTTGGTTCTGTGTTTTTATCGAGTTATAGAAACACGATTTTTGACCAATCAGTGC